AAAAAAACAAAGTGATCGGATAGATACTCAAAATCTTATGTCTTACCCTAAAGAACACGCCGGGATAGCTCTTGAGAACCGACTCGATGAGCTCCAGCCCAAGTGTGCGAGTCATTTCATGGATTCCTAGAAGCCATACGCTGGGCTTAGCATTGATGAGCAGACACAGATCCTGATAAGACGATTAAGAAATTATGCATAAGGAAAAATTCAAATTTAAGCGCACAGTGATGTACTTTGAACAACATGTATGCGTCTGCAGCGCATGGACGAAGCGTGGGAGGCGCAGATCGAGGCGAAGGTCTTCCTCCAGAAGATGCTACCACAGTCAGCTCGGCATTGTTGAATACACCGTCTTCCTAACCATTAGATAATGATTACCAAAAAGCAATCAAAATGGAACAAAGGGAAATACCTACTTGAATTACGCGTTCAAAAACACATCCGACTAATTGTCGCACAGCAGCAGAAGCCGCATTGATTACTACAGGATCTTTTGCGAAATGCATACGGAAGCACATGACAATGCACTAAAAAGCAGTAGTATTTTAACAATTTTTATGAAAAAATAGCTCATCCGACTAACTTTCGCCAAAGTGTTTCCAGTGACAAGCAGGTCTGCTGAAACTAGTGGTGGAACTGTTTGCAGTACCCTAAGTTCTTCGCATTCCACTTCCACGAGGCCCCATAGCTCACTTACCACGACATTGGCACAACTCTAAAATGAAGAATCCTTTTGCCCGGAGGATAACGTTCAAGTAAAAATCAGCGAAAATAAAGTAGAAGTGAAGAAGGACACTTACAGCTTCTAGGACTCGGTGTTGCACCAATCGCTGAATGCTTTGCAATGCAATTTGTACAAGTTTTGCATGCCGTGTAGCGCAGGCAAGGATGAGGGGATGCAACAGCTCATTGCTGGCTGTACGAAGATTTGTCAGAAGATTTGAATCGTTAGATGCAGTGCTGATGTTGCGTACACGTACGACACCTGACTCAGCTGCCTGAAAAGGACGTAATCAAACACAGTGTCTACGGAAAGAAGCACAAAAATGGTAAGCGCTCGATTACTTTTGAAAATTGACTGCAATCAATCATCTATTAGGCTGTCCATGGTTCTTTTCCGATTTTGATCAAAACCACCGCCTTCGTATCTCTATCCCTTATTTAGTGCGGCTTACGTTACCATTCGACAGAGCAAAACAAGCGCTACAAGATGGCTGCCAAACGCCATCAAAGTAATAACCGAAGTAGGAAGTACTTCCTGCAACAGGTCGGATACTCTTCTACACTCGGTCAACAGTTGAGAGCATGCTTGTGCATAGTCAAAACACCCTCATCCGCCAGGTCCAGTGGTAGGCAACTGCCTTCTGTCTCCCATGAATTTGCCCAAAGAACCATAATTCAAGCTGCCGGCATGATTACAAGGGGATAACTTCAATACAAAATGAATGAGTCTTTTTTATGCCAATGGCGAGACGCACAACTGCGAGGAGCAACCGCATATAATCATCTATCTTAGTACTCTCTTTATGTGAGCCTCCACGCCAAGTGCAAATAGACTAAGTATCGTATGATTCGCGAAGAACATGAAGTTCGGTAGAGCTGGCGCAAGAAAGCTTTGAAGACCTGGCCTACAGCAAATCAACGAGCGTTCTCCCAAGGACGCCCAAAAAATACTCAAAACCCCATCAAAAGCTCTCCCCCACGTGAGAATCAGCGCCTCCCAAGTTGAAATCGCTCCCATCTACCGAAGAGCGTGTCGCAATGCGCAAGAGCCAACGCAAGTGCCGAAAAATGAAAAGAGCTCACATCCATTTATAGCTCTTGTATGCCAACATACTCAAACATATACCTAAGGCATGCACCATACTTGATCCGCTTAATCCACTTGATCC